AAAAAGTAACGGGTGGCGCAGAATAAATTATACTGTTAGTATTTTTAACATTTCTCTTCTATCATATCAATGATGGAAACACATATTATTATTACAAAAGAACGGTTGAAATTCTCTACAAAATCATATATAAAAAGGCTCGAAATCTGTTTTAGATATATTTGAAAAATGATAAAAAGTAAAGATATATAAAACGCCGTAAGAACTAATGAATTGATCATAATATTTGATCGCATTTTGCATCTAAATTTTTTATCATATAATTAGCCCTATTAAAAAAGAATAATATAATATAAGATGCAGCGTGAAAATCTCTACAATTTACATAAAGGGCGGTACTTTAGAGTTGCGCTTTTTGTTTTCAAAATGGACAATATTGTGAGGATTGAAATTTGAATAATGCGAAAATGATGTTTTTTCTGGTACAAGATGAATTTGTTTCTCTCTTATTTCACTTTTCTATAATTGCTCTTTCTAAATTGTAGAGCTTTTCTCGGAGCATCTTGTAGTGTATTTAGCTCTTTTTTATAAATAGAATACATCAATAAGACGATGAAATAATAAAAATTGAATTCATCTTGAACAAAAATAAGATCTCGTTTTTGACACCGTCGAAATTGGATCAATCAAAATATTGTCTGTTTTGAAAAGAAAAAGTGTAACCATACAGTAAGCGATCTTGTGTAAATTGTAGAGCTTTTCACGCTGCATCTTTTGGTGTACTTTGTTTTTCTATTACTGCAAAGAGATATAAATGAGATGCAAGTTGTGATCACTCATGATTTTCAACCGCGTTAGTTTTTACAACTTTGTGTATGTCTTTACTTTCCACCTTTTTCTCAAATATATCTAAAACAGATTTCGGGCCTAGTCATATATGGTATTGTAGAAAATTTCAAACGCTCTGTTTTTATAATAAAATGTGTTTTCATCATGGGCATGATTGATAGAGGAGAAATATTAAAAATACTAACAGTATAATTTATTCTGCGTCACCCGTTATTTTCTTAAAACTGAAAAATAAGATCTCCATATTTTTGAGCGATGTAATTCAAATTAGTTGTAATCTGATTTACCATGATAAATTTTCCCAGAAGCTTGTTTCATTCAGTAATGAAAAAAAAACATCTTGGCTATGAATGACTAATTTGAAGTTCGTATTATCTTTCGATCTAGCTAATTGCAAACGCAACTATGATTTGGTCATCTACACTGTAATTCGTTCAAGCACTGTCCTATAATAGCCAGCTGATCTCAATCATAAAGTTTGGAAATGAAAGATTTGAATCATGAATAATCAAAACGTAACCTCATTTTGGGGATATTCCTGAATTAAAAATAGACTGAAATGGCATGACTCTAATCCGATTTTAATGATTTTTAATAATATTAATCGATTTTAATCTAATTTATCGGCGTTTTGCCTTACAGGAGTGAGTATGAACCGGTGTGGGGTGGATGTGCATGTGGACGTAATCAATCTGTTGAGAGAAACACACATCCACACCCACACCCATACCCACACCCACCCACACCCACACCCACACCCACACCCACACCCACACCCTTCATCTTCCGTCTGCGCTTAAAATAGTCTTGGTAATTTTGATTCTCTTCTTTTGGAATAAAAATGCTCAATCTATTATGATCTTTATAGTCACACTGTCCGTTGAATAATAATGAGTAGAGGGAGGCGAAGCAGAAGCTAAAGTGAGTGTAGGTCTTTCAAGTTTATTGTTGATATCGCTTGGAAAAATCAAGGATGGTATTTTCTGGTTCTCATCGGGACAATAGTGAGGTTGATCGGACAAGGTTCGTTTCCTACGAGTACCTTCGGGTTTTTCCATATCTTCGAATAAGAGTCTGCATAGTAACTTTTTCAAGCTTCGATCAACACGTTCACATGAAAAGAAATCATAGGGTGTTTGCTGAGACCATGAATCCTCTATGGCTACTGTCAAAGCTTCTTGTACTTCAATAATTGATACTTCATTGGCAAACACCAAATGAACAAGTAGTTCGGCAGCGAATAGACGCTGATTCAGAGAGACAGCTGCTGTTACTGTGTTCAAAAGAAGTTCGACTGTCTCACGATCTCGAACAAATTTGAAACGACTGCTGTATTCGGTTAAATCGGAGAGCAGAGAAACGAAACTTTCCTTCAAAGCTTGTGTCATATACATTTTAACGAATTGACTGTCGACAGTTTGAAAGCAAGCATAGACGAGGAGAAAATAAGATTGTTGAGCAGACGGTGCTCTCGTACTGGCTTCGAAGAGGGCTTCCAGGAAAGACTCTTCACTAATTTTACTTTCGCGAACAGTTTGACGAAACTTATTTGCTGCTGTTTTACAGATAGCACTAGCCACTTGAATATGTGGCTTGGGTTTGCAGATTTCTCGTGCTTGTTCATGTCGAAAACTATCGTGCAAATCTTGAATGAATAATGGTAACAATTCCGAGCTATTCTTTTGAATCCATTGAGCTGCTAAATTTTCTTTTTCTCTGCCTTTATCCGTGCAAACAGCAAAACCGTCGTCGTCCGAATTCTGCATGTAGGAATAATAGACATCAGCTAATGTATAGTCATTTGGATGTTTGCTTATTGGTTGTATAAGACCGATGAGAGCAGCTTGACGAAGAACTAGTGAACGGGAATGCCGCCGGAGACGATCAAGTCTGTCCAAATCTTCTTTGTCAATAACCATGTCAGGATTATTGTAGAGCGACCGAATACTTGCAGCAACGATCTTATCGTCAAATTCTCGGTTTTTTTCTGACTGCCCAGCATCTGCAATAATGAATTTAAGCATTTTTCGAACTCGCTCATCGTTTCGATAAAATTGCAGCAATCGTATTACTGCTACTTTCATTTCAACGATGTGACTTCCCTGTAGAATAGAAACAAAAAGCTCGATCAATCGCCCATTCATGCATTCCATAAGTTTTGCAGGCATGTGGTGGAGAAGCCAGAGTAAAAATGCGTTGTCGAATAGATTACTGTTAGAAGAGCTCAACCATGATAGAACAGTCACAAAGTGTTCGATGACCTCATTTGTCGATAGATGAATCAGTTGAAAAAAAGTAATTGATTGATGAAACAGATCTTGACTAGCGATGTTTTCTTTGTATTGCTGACGCATAGCTTGAAAAATCAAGTTGAGCTCTTCGACTGTTCGCACTCTATGACAGCATGAAAAAGAGGGTGTCTGGTGGTGCTTATTCCATGTGCGAATCCATCGACGTAAAATAGGAATTGTATCTTTGTCGATATGGAACAAGCGATTACATGTCATAATCCCCCATCCGGAGATACTCGACTTCTTACGAAGGTAATCATCTTCGTTTGTCAAAAGTTCACAGCAGATGTCGAAAACCTCAGGTGTCCATATGTCAAATTGAGCAAGCAGAAGAGCTGCATGATAGGCAAATGGCCGAAGAATGGCATCCTGGCGATATCTTAGCCATTCAACGAGCAGGGCATATGTTGCACTGTCACTCACTTCTGTACGTCGGCGAAGTGCAAGCTTCAGAAGAGGTATACGATCTTCGTTCATTTTAATGAACTCTGGTGAAGTGAATAGTGTGGTCATTTTTAACAATAATGTTGAGTTCAATTTTAATACATCTGATGATTGTATTGTCTGCAAGCATTCGTCAAACTGTAATAAAACTTGCTTTTCTGAGCCACTAGTGTCTTTTTCCAAACCATCGACATACCAACCTTTTAGTAGTTCGAGATCATGAATCAATTCCGAAAGATACATGCATGTTGATAAAGTTAAACAAATGTCTGTTGTTGATGTTGCCACTATCGTAGACAAACACTTTTTCAAGAGAATCGAGTTGAGTCGCAAAACTTGACTGAGATCATTCATCTTTCCTACCCAGTTTGTCGTTCGTATGAACTGTCGAACTTGATGTCGAAGAAACGGGAAAACATTAAGTACCTGGCAAACGACTTGTTGATCTAAATCGCTCATATTTACCATGCGTTGAAAGATTGCCATTGATAATGGCTGCGATGATGCGAGAAGACGCTCATTATGCTGCATTGAGGCACAGCGCGAAAAAATTGCAGTATAACTCAGTAGTGGTATAGTCTCTCCCGCTTCCTTGAGGTCAGTTAGCAAATTGTTCAGACGATTTTGGCTAACGTTGATGCTACTCTGTTTTCGAAGATGAATAGAACAAACAGTGATTGTGGCATCTAATCTCCACGATGAACACTGGATTGATTGGGCTGCAGACCACGCTTCATCGAGTAGTGTCTCGAATTTGGATCGATCACGGTCTTGGGCATACTGAGCACTCGCCAGACGAGCGATACAAACTGATGCAGAATAGAAGTGGAGATCGTTTGAAACATATTCAGAACGTGCATGTGATAGACGACTTTGTTCTTCTTTAATAGCTTTTACCAGCCATTCAGAGCGACGCTGGTCGTTTTGAAACGATACGATTAGTTTTGCCAAATGTTGACTTGTGTAAAATTTGATTTTTTTATAGCCGCCAGAGTTGATAATATGAACAATCTGTGCTAAAGCAAAATTCTCCATGCCATTGTCAGTCAACATCGGTAGAAGAATATCTATTAAAGTGAAATATCGAATAGATAAAATTTTCAACGTTTCGGTATGAAAAAGAAATTCAGTAATTAAGTGAATAAAAGGTAGATCTGAAGCGGACAGTTGTGGTTTCTCTGAAAACATTTGAATGTAGAGTGGTTGCATGTGTTTTGGCAGATAGGCAAGAAGTAGAATTACTGGCTTATTTTTGAGAAGTTGAAATGGGTGTCGCTCGCGTTCGAGGAGCTCTATGTCTCCGTCTTCGATTTCTTGAAGATGATCCACCTCATAACAATTACTCAAAACCACTTGAAACATAATAGGTAGGTTTTTGACAAGTATAGCATCTTTCCATCCTATCACAGTTTCATATCTGATTCGAGGTCTTGATAGTTTAAGATTGAGAAAATAATTGCCTGAAATGCTCGATTCCTCTTTAAATCCTTTCATGCACGCATACCATGAGGTATTAACTTTTTGTTCGGTGTTGATCAATCGACAGTAAGCATGTGCGACCGTATCGACAAGAGGGACGAATGTTGTGTCCGGTGATGACGAAAACTGATCGATAAAAATGGCCAAATACTTTTTGTAATCAACTTGCTTACTGACTAAAAAGAATTCGTTAAGATAGGCCTTGACAATGACTTGCATATATCGTAGAGCATTTCGAAAAGCTTTACGATGATCCGAATATGCTGCGTACATTGTCGGATGATCTACGCCAAGGAGACAAAATAAAATAACGAGACTATGGACGACAGTATCAGAAACATCTGTTATAGAACTAGCAAGTATAGTTGTATTGCATTGATCAATGAGAATTTCGAGGTCCATTGTTGATGATGATGATGATGTGTTCAAATAGTCGATGAAAACAGAAGAAAGAGGCGAATTACGAAATAGGCCTTCATGAGAAAATGTAACATAGATTTGTTGCGCTTTTCTGTCATCGTTTATTTCAGCAATACGACTCACAAGACCACCAAACAATGCAATTATGGCAGCCAAAACCGTTGGGTGTGAGTTTTGAATAGTGCAAGTGCTCACGTTCATCCTGGCAGAATGCATTTGTTTTAACGGTTTGTCACAATATGACTGCAACTCGATGCTGCTTGTATTGCTCGGTGCAAGTAGTTGAGAAAGGAAAAACTCCCGAAGATCGATACCTCTTAACAAATCAGCTTTGTGCATATTCACCATTAACAGAAATCGATCGCTTGCTACATACATGTCATCATCATCACCATCATCTAATTGGTGAACAAATTGCGACGAAAGAATTTCACAGAACTGGGTCGTAATCCATTCTGGCAAATCATGTTTATTAGCCATAATCACATGGAACAGCCGAAGAATTTTCAAACGAAGTTTGGTTTCTTTAGACAATATTGAAACAAGCCATCTGTTCGCGATATGTAGTGGTAATGAATTCAAAGCGATTATTAATTCATTCTGAAAATTAGAAGTCTCTGGATCATGATCGCATCCATCAACATTCAGCAAAGTGTCGAGTGCATGATGAATGAGTAATTCAGAAGGTACAGAGGCTAAATCTTTTAGAGCATTTAGGAACAAGAAAGAACCGACAGGCACATATTTGTTCCAAACATCATTATTTAATAGTAAGCGCGAGCAAAAAAGGTCGTAATCAGAAAAACTCCACTGCGAACTAATCCAGCCGAGAGCGAGAAAAAGAGGCTCTCGCATTGACTTGCACCAAAAGAGTGAAAGCATACGACGGACAGTATTCTCTATGGTTTCATTTACTACATGAGAGCCATTAGTATGCATTAGAGATATAGCAACGAAATATTCTTGATATGTTTTATGAATAAAACCATACATGTTCAGAGAGCGAGCTGCAACTACGCCTACATCTTCGTTGAGAAGTTGAATAAAAATATCAGCTTGTCGTCGAATTTCATTATTGCTGTAAAAGACGGTTTTTCTCCCTTTGTCGTGATTATTGTACCATTGGTAAAGAGTAAAACGACACAACTGCTGTAAATTGAATTCATCAATGAGACCCGATCCCGAATGAAAGTGAACGTAAGTAGCCAACTGCGAAAGTAAGTAGATCAGTGTATCTTTGGTGATGATGTTCGATTGTCGATCTTTCCATGATTGTAGCATGGCATCGACAACTTGTGCGTACAGTGAAACTCGTATCTTGCCCAAAAGGTCGACGCCACGTCGAGCGACTAATGTACAGATGATAGGAAGAAAAAATCCATTCGACACTAATGTGTGTAATTGACTGTCGGTCTTCAGCTTTTCTAATAGCTGATCTGAGCAAAGCCACGATTGAGAATCTGCTGCTATGATGGATTTCTTAAATTTTGGTATATGTAAAAAGATCAGGCGAATAATTTCTTCACGCACACTCAAAAACCAAGTTTTGATGTAGTCTTTGAGTTCATTCATTCGATATTGACTCATTGGTTCTATTGTGTAGTGAACTAATAGTTTACCACGTAGAGGCTGCGCTTGATAGCCGATTATTCTACTCGTGACTATAACCATATTTCCTGTAAGAAATAGTTGTTCCGAAAATCGATTTGCTGTCGAAACTTCGCCGTCAAATGGTGAGATAAAATCAGACGACAGACAGTATGTATGAATAAATGTGCGAACTTGTTCAATAACTTGTTCTCGAAGAGAGTAACTTGCTACTTCATCCAGTCCATCTAAAATAATGAGAGCATGACCATGTCGAATAAAGTCTTGCAACATGTTAGATATACCACTAGCATACCTCTGACCAAACCACGTGTGATGTCCAATGTAGTCGAAAAGGGTCAGTGTTGGGGAATTTTGCTCGAGCCATAAGCTGAATTCCCCAATGCGAATCAAAATAGGAACACGAACGAAATTACTTGTTTTGCAGTTCAGCGGTTGAACTTGTGTCTCTCCTCGAAGTAGCGCACGTGCATATTCGACTGTCAACCATCGGGCTACGGTCGTCTTTCCACTACCCGGATCGCCCAGTAACACGGTCCATCCTTTCCACGGAAGACAATCGAGCAATTTCTGTCTTTCGCTTTCTCCCGAATATGAGTCGCTCAAAGGATAGATGAACGACATCCCTCCTTGGATATCTTGACGTAGGGCCACTACATTCGGCTGTTTTCCAGCAT